ATCATTTTCTAGAATTTCAATTTTATATTTTTATGTCCCTTCAAATTTTAACCAGAGTAATAGGAGACTCTGTACTTGAAAGTAATATAGTTACCCTTAATTCATTCATGAATAATAACCAACAATATTTCTCAGACTCTCGAATAGATACAAATAGATAATTTTCGGGCATTGACAAAAATCACAAATAATTGGTATGAGCCAGGCTATAATTATAGAAATCAGTTAAATTTCGTCAGTTGCTTAAAACACATGATAGTTTCGAAATTCCGTAACATTGACACAATTTTCCTCGCTGTATGAGCTTTTTAGTTTCTGTGTAGTTATAAATAACAGTTTTTGTCTTTGTTATTATTTTCTTATAGTAATTGTTTTGCATGATAAATAACATATTATCTCTGATAACGAATTGTGGTTAATGTAAATAATTTCATTATTCTCCTTGACAGATTACTTCATAATTTCAGTTTTGAGTTTTGTTCAAGTGAGAACCAATTTATGCTTAACTGAACCAGTATCATTTATCTGGTTAGAAATATTATATCTCTTTCTTGTTCGTTAGAAACGCGCGTCGAGGGATGTATTTTGTTTTGATGTGGAAAAAGTGTTGCTATTAAATTTATTTCACGCCAGCAGTTCAAATCCTACCTATCAAACAATGAATAACGCTACATCTGGATCCATGAAAAATCAAAGATATAAAGGTCAAAGACAACTTTACAACACATTCAAAAAATGTTTGTGAAAATTAAAAAAATCTCTTTGTATTTTTCCAGTTGTTTTTTTTAATATTTCACATGTAATTTCTGAATAAAAAAAGTATCTGAAACTAGACACATATGCGTTCTTTCAACTAATAAACACCCTTATCTGTCGATCAAGTCACTCAGACCATGTATTACAATTTGCTATTCAATCATGGGTAGTATCTCGTGTATTGAAGACGTATCTCTTGTTGCTGAAGACGAAATGTTTGGCAGATTTGATGAAGATAAAATATATAGAAGAAGTCAGAGCTAAAATTGGTGTATCCCTAATTTTAACATTTTTTCGATATTCTTGCAATTCATGGTTGTTTGTGTCTTCAATCAGACTAAAGTGTCTTTTTTGGATGTGCTCCAAATATTTGGAGCACATCCAGAACAAATTAATTGGCGAAGGCGCGTTCTGGTGTTGGGAAAGTGTTTTCAATAGGTTAATTTACAGATTTATTCATCGTCTTTCATGTCGATAGTGGAGTAACTGCCCTGTAATTAGAAGGAAGATTTTTTCGCTCTGTTTGGGTAAAGGTTGAACTCCAGCGGAATAACAACCCACTTCTCAGTATGACAAGTTGAAGACGAAACAAAGGAGCCGGTTCCCTTTTTTAAATTTGATGTAGTTTCAAGGTTCTGTACAGTAGCACTAGATGAGATCAGACTCTTCCAAATGGTATTTTAGACATTAAAGATTGGGATGGATGCATTTAGTAAACCAATCCGCTTATAATAGACCAAAATACTAACCATTTTAAGGGCGAAATTAGAGATCTGGTGAAATTTTGACAGATGTTTCATTTTGTTGACTAGTTGGGACTGCTAAGAACTCCCTAGGTGCATCAAATAACCTGATACTTTGTATTTTTTCATAAATGCACCGAAATGCACCAAAAAATTATTTGTGACAAAAGTGAACAAGCTTTTAAATAGCTATGCGAAAAAATATCGTTGTATGAACGTATTTTTATGGCGAGGATAAAATGATTATTTCTCATTGCTGCAAGAAACTTCAGAAACGCTTTCAATCATAACAGTTCAGACATGATTCAGACGTTGTAAAGACAATCGCAGATATCGCGCAAAACTTGGTCCGACTACACTATTGTATTCTTCAGTTTCAAAATGATTCCGTAATTTCAGGAATGTCCAATGACAGTTCTAAAAATTTTTTTGCAGTGAAATACCTGTTGCCTTTTTCTAAACTCTTAACGAAAAATCTCTCAATTAGGTGTTTGTTAATACTTTTTCCTATTTGTATTTTATTTACTGTCTGAAGCATTTTCAGCTGAATATTCACGTTCATCTTTCGATATTGGTGTATTTTCATTTATCTGAATCATATTATAAGTAATTCATCATTTCAGTTCAGATTGATATTTCATTGTTTGTTAACCTTCATTTGTTCTGCATATATTAATTTCACAAAATTTTCTGTCGACCATCTTTCTTATTTTTTCGAATTATTCTGAAACAGGGTCGCTTTGTTTTTTGAAAGGTCACGTTTTTGTGATTACATTGGGTTTTTCTCGCTTTTCCTTAAACTTTGAAATGAGAATATTGAATCTGTCTTGTTTTTCAGTTTTCAAATTTGACCTAAATGTTCTCCCTGTATTCCTGAACCTGCATCATATTTGACAACATTCTAGGAAGAATAAATTCATCTTCTCTTCAGCATTTCATTTAACAAGTAACAATTTCAAACGCTATTAAAATATGTGAAATATCAACTGTGATATTTGGGTCAATGCTGAGTTTGATAATAAAGATAAATGTTTGTAGCAGGGCTTTCGTAAGGGAACACTATAATTACAGTGAAATAGTTCTGTGTTTACTAAAGTTATGGTTAACACTTTTTCTATTTGAACAGTGAAATAATACAGTGTGATACCAGAACGCCTTCAAGAGTAACCCGAAGTACTATATTAAACTTTTAGATTATATGGACTTTTTTATCGGAAATTTCCTCCTCTTTAACGAGCTTTTTTCAAAATTGCCTAAATATTAATATTTTTTGAGTTATTAACGAAAAATAAATACCATTTTTTTTAAATCTTATTTTGTTAATAACAATTGCAATTTTTTACCTGCACCAAAATCCTTCAAAAACATTTTTCTGATTCAGAATCGAATGAGCTATCGCTCATATTTTTAGGAACTTTATCTCTATTTTTCATGTTTTTGAACTTGTTGATTAGAGTATACATATTTTTCTGGTATAGTTTCACACAAGGGCGTCGCCAGCTTATGACTAAGGAGGAGGGGGGCAATGGAGCAATACTATGGAGAATAAAGAATATGATCGCCTGGTACAGTCGAAAGCATGAAGCGTTAGATTTTGGAAGTCTTTGCCTCGATGACAATTGTAATAAGAACGGTTCTGATATCAATGTATAAAACATTCACAAGCCCTCGACAGCACAATAACTAAATCAAACTTTTAAACACAGTAATGATTATTTATTTTAACAAAAATAATATTTAATTAAAACATAACCTGCGGGGACTTTTTGCAAAACTTTCAATCACTATATCATTAAAATTATTTAGGTTTTTATTTATTATAGCTCTGTGTACACTCATTATGGCCAGACCATTAAGGCTATCTTCTGCCATGGTGCTTCTTAGCCATGTTTTCAGTCTTCTGAGGCTGCTAAAGGATCGCTCTACTGTACAGGTCGTGCATGGTAAAGCGATCAAAATTTTTCCGTTTCGGAAAAGAAGGAATTTGTTTCTTTTAGGACATTAAAAACTATAAGATTTATTAGATTAAGCCTATCTTGCTACAATTGCTGCCAAAGTTCGATTTTATTCTTTATGTTCGGTAAATCATGAATCTGGGCAAAAGATTCACAAGTTTGTTTCAGATTTTCAGTGGTCATCTTTTGCATCTGCGCCGGGTGTAACTTGGATAATGCGAATGATGGCGTGCTTTCTTCAGCAAAACGTAATTCAAGGAAAGTGATTGATTCCAAGTATGGTATTACTAAAGACCTCTTCCAGTATTCTGAAGGGCTTTCTGCTGGATGATTGCTTCTATGACGTTGTTTCCCCATAATACGCGACATTGTTGTAATATCCTCCTCCAGTCCGACTTTTTCCACAACAGCAGTATCTTCGTTTATAATTTCGTCTCTCACTTTTTCCGGATTTTCACGGTGGTTCTTAATTAAAAGTAAAATCCTTTTAACGTGTTCCGAAGCTTTGACCACGTCTAAAGCTACAGATTGGAATACGTTGACAACGGGTTCCATCAAATCCGAGTATTTGGCTACCAACATAATTCCGAGAATGAACGAAATTCTGGAAGTAGCCGCATGCAGTTGGAAGGCACTTTTCCGAGTTGCACTATTTCCTTCCTGAGATAATGTTTGTAAGGCTTCCAGAATTAATGGAAGATTTTCTTTAAAAACTCTGATGGTTTTGTGTTTCTCACTTCATCTTATCTCGCAAAGTCTGGAAATATTAGGTATCAACTTCCTTCTCAAAACTGATTCCAGAAAATAGTTTATAGTATCTTTGGTGGTTCCCATGGCATTTCTAATTTCTGGAAGTGAATTTAGATTATTGATAACTAGACTACTGCTACTACAACTAGATAACTACTTTTTGCGTAAGATCGCCTGTTCCCCTCAGTCTTTTACTGACATCGTTGAACAACCATCAAAACCAAAACCAACGCATCTATTTATGTTTAGATCTTCTTTTGTCTAAAACTCATCTTTGCTATGTGCACACACACACACACACAACACACATACACACACCATACCTACCTCCTACCTACATATTTTTACACTGTTTAATGACAAATCTGAGATAGTTTGAAAACGGATGTCAAAATCTCAATGTTATTCTGAATATTTCAATACTTACTACAATATATATATATATTAAACCTTGTGAATTTATTTACGTTTTGTCATGCGATCCGGAATTTATTAATAGGTAAGGAAGTCAATTGCTCGCACTTTGGTCGCTTTGCGGCCAGCTACATTTGATCTCTAGGGGGGCGGCAACTACCCCCCCCCCCGCTCGCCGTTGGCGAAGCCCTTGGTTTCACATCAACTCGCAACTATATTGTTACAGCTATCCTGACCACGCCAACAGAGGAAGGCACTAGAAGCTGGTTAGTAAGCTCAGCATATCTTCCAGGCGAGGAGATCTGTCCACCACCGCAATTAGACGAAGTAATCGCATACGCGGTCAGGGAAAACCTCCAACTCATTATAGGATGTGATGCAAATGCACACCATATATTATGGGGAAGCACGGACATCAACACAAGAGGTGAGTCATTACTAGATTTCATACTAACAAATAGGCTATTAATAGCCAACGGGTAACAAACCAACATTTGTCGCCGCAGCGAGGAAAGAGGTACTAGATATCACACTTTCTTCGGAAAAAGCATGTGACAATATAGACAACTGGCATGTGTCAGAGGAGCCTTCATGCTTCGACCATAGACAGATTAGGTTTGACCTAGTCACCCCTCCTCGAACATCAATCACTTATCGAAACCCTAGAGCCCTAGAGAGACAAACTGGAGAGGATACTTATTGTCACTCAACGAGGCTCTCGAAGGAGAGGTGATTGAAATAGAGAACGATGAAAGCCTTGAAAGGGCAGTGAAAAAAGTAAGCAAGGCAATAATTGCAGCTTACGAGGCGAACTGTCCAGATAAAACAAGGCAACAGTTTAACAAAACAGTCTGGTGGAACAAACACTTAGAAATCCTCAGAAGGGAAGTGCGGAGGCTATTTAACAAAGCTAAAATAAACCAAGACTGGGCGGAATACAAGGCTACACTCACACAGTATGATAAAGAAATTAGAAAGGCTAAGAGGCAATCGTGGAGGAAATTTTGTGAAGAGGTAATGGATACCTCCACTTGTTCGAGAACCCACAAAGTGCTAGCTGAGGAGGGTACTATAAACCAGGTAGGGTTCCTAAAAAGGGATGATGATATCTACACAACAACATTTGGGGAAAGCATAGAAATGCTCATCAAGGCACACTTTCCTGCCACAACAATTCTAAAAGGCCCAGTGGCAGTACACTGTCCGCGAAGCAAGTCGAATAGGCAGAATGCCTCGAACTGGAAACTAGTTACTGAGATAACAAGGCCAAATAAAATTAGGTGGGCTATAAGTAAATTCCAGCCATATAAATCTCCAGGAGATTTCAGAAGGGGCAGGAATCACTGATTTCATACTTATGTAGAATATGAAAGGCTTGCATAGCCATGAGATACATACCGAATGAGTGGCAAAAAGGCAGAGTCATCTACATATCCAAGATAGGGAAGGTAAACGATATGACGCCCAAGTCATAATACTGGAAATACTCAATATACTCAAAATACTGGAAAGACTGATAGATAGATACATAAGAGATGAGATATTATCAACAAACCCTCTCAACGAACGCGAATATGCGTACCAGCCAGGTAAGTCAACAGATATGGCATAATATGATCTTAACAGGCTACTAACAAAATCCTTAGAGGATAAGGAGATAGCCATGGCAACATTCATCGACATCGAGGGTGCCTTTGATAACGTATCTACAGAGTCCATCACCAAAGCTCTAGATAGAAAAGGGGTTCCCACCCTCCTGTGTAAGTGGATAAATGCCAGTCTGGAAACAAGGGTGATCATATCATCCATAGGCGAAACCACAGTCACAGCTAGAGCTGGCAAGGGGTGTCCACAAGGAGGGGTATTATCGCCCCTACTGTGGGCTATCCTAGTGGACGAACTACCAGTGAAGCTAAAATCCAAAGGCATGCATTGTTTAAGATATGCCGATGACCTCGCGATTATCGCAAGAGGCAAATTCGCAAGAACTGTCTCGGAGCACACACAAACGGCTCTAAACATAATAAATAAATGGTGCCCGGAGGAGGAACTAACAGTAAACCCTCTCAAAACTACACTTTACAAAAAAGAAAGTACTTAGAGGGCTGAAGCCACCAGTACTGCACGGGGTAGAAATTCCAATCGCACAAGAGGCAAAATACTTGGGAGTCATTTTTGACCACAAGTTGACGTCGAATCAACACCTACAAAAAATAATCCAAAAAAGCACGATAGCCTTCAACTTGTGTAGAAGGATGTGCGGAAAAAATTGGGGTTTACAACCAAAAATGGCCATATGGCTATATACCAGGGTTACCTTACCTATGATAGCATATGGCTCGGTGGTATGGTGGTCAAAGACTCAGCAGGCTGGTGCGATTCGAAGGCTAAGTGGCATTCAAAGGCAAGCTTGCCTGGCTGCCACGGGCGCTATGAGAACCTCCCCAACAGCCGCATTAGAAGTCCTACTGAACCTAATGCCACTACATCTATATATTCAAGGGGAAGCCAGGTCAGTTATCAGTAGACTGACCAGAGGGCAAATGCCTATAATCATGCTGCACGGTAAGAGGTACAACGAGCTAAACAAAGAGTTGGAAAACGACCCCATAATGGAAGGGAGGACATCCAATAAATGTAGAGATTGCATGTTACACAGACGGCTCAAAAACTGAAGAAGGTGTAGGAGCAGGAATCTATATAACTAAACCAAAGACAAAAGTCTCACTAAGCTTAGGTAAAGAAGTGACGATATTCCAGGCAGAAACGACAGCAATACGTCACTGCGCAGAAGAGTTACTAAGGCAAGAGTTTAAGGAAAAGACTATTGCAATATACTATGATAGCCAAGCAGCTATAAAAGCAATTAGTTCCATGCAGGTCAATTCCAAACTGGTCTGGAACTGCCTAGAAAAGCTACAAGAACTAGGGAGTCAAAACAGACTGTCATTAGCCTGGGTACCAGGCCACACAGGATACATGGGCAACGAAGAGGCTGATTCACTAGCACGAGAAGGAGCACGATGCTCCCCTATCGGCCCAGAATCCTTTTGTGGTACAGCAAAAGCGCTGCGAAAAACTTGTAACAGCAACTGGAAGGAAAAACAATCTCGAAAATAGTGGAATAAGGCGCCGGGTATGAAACAGGCCAAAGAGTTCATTAAAAAGCCATCGCCAAAAGTCACGGAGTACCTACTAAGTCTGAATAGGCGATCAACTAGAGTTCTGGTCGGGCTATTGACGGGAGACTGTAGACTCAACAAACACATGGACAACATCGGACTAGCAGACACAGCCCTATGCAGGCTTTGCCAAGAGGATGATGAAACCTCCGTACACATAATATGCTATTGCGAAGGTCTGTCAAGGATAAGGTTTGCAACATTACACAACCCTTTCAATATATGGGGAACTTGAGGTCTGGCCTATGCAGTCTAGTTACAAGGACGGGCCTAGACAAGGCACTCTAGCATATATGAGGGCACACACTCTAGACCTGCAAAGGTCGCAGTGTAGTGGCTGTTCAGCACAGAAGCCCCAAATCAATCTAATCTGATCTAATCTAATCTAATCTAACTAATAATAATGACCTGTGATGCAATTCAATGGAAAAAAATATTTTCAAAATCGCCGTTGACGCCATGAGCGATGCTGATGCGACTTTTTTTTTTTTTGGTCAAAATTCAGCAATTTTGGAACGAACTTCGCTGCCACACGCTTCATGCAAAAAATTCCCAAAAAATTTCATGGTATGAGCCAACCGATATGCCGACATCCTCAGCAACTTCTCTGATAGTGATTTAACGATTCGCCATAACAATTTTTTTCACTTTCTCAACATTTACATCGGTTGTTGATGTGCTGATGAGTCCAAGGCGGGCATCGTCATTCACATCTTTTCGACTTTTCGACCTTCTGTGGAAAGCTGAAAGGATTGTATCACTTGTGAACATTTTCATGACTCAGAGTACAGTCACCGTATGCCACTGTCAACAGTGCAAGTATAGCATTTTCTTCGATAGCAGCAAATCGCCGGACACGTAAAACACTTCAAACTTTTATGCCTCCCACCAACAAACTCAATATGCTGTGAATACATATTCCAAGATAAAAAAATCGGTTATTGAATGTACGCAGTCCGAGAAATTTGAATATTCACCTTATTTTTCGAACAGTCCACGTATAGTGTCCTGTAAAACGTCCTGTGGTCGATCTCAGGTCTTTTGATCCAAACCTACAAGCTGTTATCTCTTTCTACTCATTTGAACGGTGAGAAAATATTTGAAAAACAGACTCGGTTCCAAATTCAGATCGACAGTATGAGATAAGAAACTAACTATCAGAATCACTGAATGCTGTGAAACTAATTACTATATTTGCACACACCTATTATATAATCTGCAACGTCTTTGGTTGGGTTTCGGTGAAAGTAAACTCACCTGGCATTTCATATAATGGTTCATATACTTTTACAAATTTATTTTAAAACTCATATACTATGTGAAATTGGGTCCTGTTTTTGGGTTAATTTTACTTAACGGCCGAGAAAATGTAACAAGTAATTGTTTCCCTGTGTACTGCAATTTCCGCTGTTCACACATTTTTTTATTCCGAACAATTGACTTTTTCACCGAGAAAACGATTCATATTTCTATATTCGATACGTGGGTGGAAGTTATTGAGCACTATCTAAAGAGATAGTATGCGAAACAAGTGAAGGTTGAAATTGTAAAATGAATGCCTTCAATTCTTGTTGTACCATTTATCGTGCGTTTCGTTATGTAAAAGTTTTGAAAGCAATCTGAAATGTGCTTCTGTGTTTTCATTGAATTCGAGTATTTGCTGATATCTGTTTAATATGTATTTGAAATATCTATAGGTAGACTGCAGAATATGGACAAATCTTTGTTTGAAGGTGATTGACAATGTTTCGTGATGAATTTCACTAGTTCGGACTTCCATTGTCTATTATATAAAATGATTTGAAATCCCTGAAACAAGTAAAAAAGAATAATTAAAAGAGAATAGTTGAAAATAACAATTATATTAAGCAACAATAAACCTGAAATGAAATGATAGTGAAATAACCTACAAGTAAAAATATAATAATTGAATAAATA